AACCTCACAAAACAATACACTCCTTTTTTGCGTAGTCGTGTATAAAACATTACGTAATCACAAACCGGTCGATTAGTTTTTTCTGATTGCCATTTGTTATCACGTGACGTGTTTTTGATTCTTAAAAAGTAATTAAATCCCCGGTTAACAATTGATGAAATCATTAAATTGGACTGTCCGCCATATCATCATTGATTAATCATCATCGTACTTAGTATAATAATTTTAGAGTCTTTTTTGTTTAAAATCTTTCATTAATATTGTCAATTTTATTGGCAAATTATATAAGAGGTTCTGAATTCGATTGCATATATTTTCGGTTGTATTATTGTAACAAAGGGATTGTTTGTTAGTAATGCGGACTATTCCATTCCATTGCTAACAATATACCCTGTCAGGTCGACCTCCACCTGGTCCCCCCTGGAAACTATCGTGATGAATTCCAGGTGTATTCATCACGGTGGGCTAACTGACCTGTCTTTTCATTCTTACCTAATCTGCCCTCACTCGATTTCGCTAGCGTATACCCTTTTTGATGGGTGAAAATGGTATGGTAACCCTTCCTGCGCTAACGGTATATGCTGGCGGAGCACCAGTGAAGGGTGATAGATGAGAATGAAAACAGGCCAGTTAGCCCATCATGATGAATTCAACGAGAATTGTTCACGATGGTTTCCAGGGGGAACCACGGCTCCGCCGATATCGTATTGTACAACGCGTTGGGGCAGATATAGACGGCTCTGCCCCAGGTATCGCTTCACCGAGTAGAAATGGATCCTTCATTAAAAAAATATTACACATCTATAACGAATCATCTATTTATCTATGCCTGTGAAGTACCTACGCGTTCAATATCACAATGACAGGTGGCGAGTGTGTTATTAGTGTTGTTCTATCATGATTTATGTGCAGTTAGCGCAGTAAAAATTGCAATAACGATATGAGAGATTGTCTATGATATATTTTTTTTTAAATTACATTTTTTGCCCGCGGGTCTATTTATTTTGTGTGTGTAACATGATGTGTATATTATTACTTTATATCTTAGATTATATAGATAGAGTATCGAGCCCCAAAAACGGGTCAACTTTTTGTGTTTTTTTTTTTTATCAGTATTCTATTAATTGACGCATAAAATGTATCTTGATGTATTATTTAATAAATAAAATAAAACACTTATTTTATTAACACGCATTAAAAATATGTGAAGTTTATAAGACAAAATAAATATAGAAGTATTAAAGGAATCACTTCATAACCTATTTATATAACGCAAAATTGTAAGAAAAAGTTGACCCATTTTTCTCGAAGCATTTCTATAGAAACACTATATCTATATAATATAAATATTTATATGTATATATGTATATATATATATATATATATATATATATATATATATATATATATATATATATATATATATATATAATTAATGCAATTTGTATGATATGATAATAAAAAGAAAAGAGTATATTCCTTTTTAAAAGGCCGGCAGCACACCTGCAATGTCACTGGTGTTGTGGGTGATCATGGGCGGCGGTAGTCACTTACCATCAGGTGAGCCGGATGCTCGTTTGCCCCGTGTTGTAAAAAAAAAATATAAATAATTATATTATAAATGTGAAAGTAAATTTATTTGTCTGTTATTTTTTAGCGTATTAAGTATTAATAACTAATTACTATAAAATTGGGTACACACGTATTATTTTAAGTTTAAAAAAAAAAGAATAACCGAGTTTCTTGCTCGTTCTTCATACCTGAAATTACATTCCTAATTGGCGGTAGAATCATAAAAACGACTATCAAAAAATGCTTAAATAAAAAAGAATTAATAAGAATATTTCTTTCTTTTTCTTTCTTTGTATGAGATGGAGAATATATTTTTGTAAGGTCAGGCGTGATCACGCGGACGATGTCACGGGTAAAAGCTAGTTTCCTATATATCCGGATGCTTAAATTGCTTTTACTAATGATTAAAACGCTTATTAGTAAAGTGATTGTATCAACGTTTACTTAGCGTGTGTCGACATTAGTATGGCGTTTATCACCGTGCGAACATCGTCGACTTGTGTCCACATGTGTACATGGGAATTCTATGGAGAATATGAGAATTATTCGCTGTTGACTGCGTATATAATTTATAGTTACGTGCCATGCATAATTAAGGTCTAGACTTGAATTATAGTGTACTTTAGATGAAGCATATGGGGTCAAAAAACGTAAAAATCTGTTGGCGAAATGTTAATTATATTATTTGTAATTAAAAAATAATCAATTATATTAATTGATGTTAATTTGTTAATTCTTTTTTAAATATTTTTTTTTTCTAGATGGAGTGTTGAGTCCAAAAAGTTCAGTCAATTTGTTGGCCGTGATTTTGTAATATTTTTCGGTATCACGATATTTTCATATTCTTATAAGCATATATCAGCAAATTGCGTGTGGTCATGTATTATGTATAATACAAATATGTTCAGGTAAGGGTAAAAAAGCTGGACAATGGATTTAGGAGATTTCTAAGTGTTTGTAGCGAGTAATTCTATTTAAACCAGGTTCGAGTCTTGAAAACTTTAATATTAATTTATTTTTTTGGACAGATACATATTATAAATAGTTGTAAAATAGTCTTAAAAATAGATATAAATTTACTTTTTTGATATGGTTACACAGATTCATTTTCTAGTTCTGTCAATGTAATAACAGTGCCGACTCTTAAATAACATAGTGGTTACTTGGTCAGTTTTTTATACTGTAATATTAGTAAGGATGATGTATGAAGCACAAAATGAAACCAGTGTGACAGTAGACAGCTCTATAAAACAATTACTCATTCGCCTCCGGTTTTGAACCGGTGACCCCTTGCATCAAACCATTCACGATCACGTAACGCGCATTCGTATCCTAATAGCGCTATCAGTAAAGAAATTTAAATGTATCTCAATTCAGATAATGTTTGTGAAAGACAGTATTTTTAATTTCAGCCATTAACTGTTCACTATACATACATAACATAAGCTTTTTTCGTAAGGATAGTTTTGCCAGTAGTTCTTACGCTTGGCAGGCGTGTTGACAACCGCAGTTAGGCTTTTAGAGATGTATTTTTTTTAATGGATGGTAATGGAATGGTAACCCCGCCTGCGCTATCGGTATACGCTGGCGGGGCACCAGTGAGGGATGATAGATGAGGATGAAAAAAAGACAGGTCAGTTAGCCCATCGCGACGAATACACATGGAATTCAGCACGATGGTTTCCAAGGGGGACCACGGGGAGGTCGATCTGGTTGGATATATTGCTAGCAAATGGAGCTCTTAGTCACCATTACTAACAATCCCTATTAGAGATGTATTAAGAGGGACGCTGCTGCTCATCCCTCTACCATTAATTTCCCTTAGTCGTCTCTTACAACATCCATAGGAAAGAAAGGGGTGGTCTATTCTATACCGGGACCACATGGCCATTTATTAACAAAGACAGTATACAGTCAATCTTTGTTAATAAGGAAACTTACTGCTTTTTGATCCTATTATGATGAAAATCATAATACAATGATTATTATGACCACCGTGTGGTCCCAGCATAGGATGGGATACCCCTTTTCCTGTGGGAGTTGTAAGAAGCGACTAAGAGAACTAAATGATCCAGGGATGCGCAGCAAGTCCCTCTTAAAACTTCACCGAATCTTAACTACGGCTGCCAATCCACCTGCCAAACGTGGCAACTATTGGTAAAACGCCTCTTATGCAGAAGGCCTATGTTCGGCAGGGGACAGTTAATGACTAATATAATAATAAATTATTAGGTCATGAACAACCCATTTTATATGTTTGTAGATTTTGTACAAAAGTCGTTTGTATGGGTGTTTTTGACGCATCCATATTTCAATCTTGGAGTCGCTACTTTATTTGAAATATGGGGATATGGAAATGAAATTGCAGAGTATGGATACATAACTGCATAGTTCTTAAGTATGGTAATGAATAAGAGGTATCATGAGCTGGATAGTGTATTCTGTGATCTAAATGATGATGTTTATATGAAATGGTAATTTACTACCATCCATCATGTGGACTGTCAGCTTGTTTGCCATTATAAGAATATAAAAAAAAAATATTGACCACAGACAAGTTTAACTGACTTTTTAATTCTATTACATAAAATCACCCAATTATATTCAGCTATGTTATCATATGTATATTAATACTGAAATAATGATGCATTTAACACTTCACTTCAATTAATTGCGTAAAAGAACTGGAATATTAAAACTTGTAACCTTAATTTATGTATCGATAAATATGATAGATTGCTATTAATATCGAGTTCAAACATGTAATAATCGATTTATTAATACGTTACGAGTAACACGATAAATATAGTGTTGTACTGCTAAGAATGGTAAACAAGTTGATGGCCTATTCGATGGTAACTCACCATCGTTTATAGACACGAACAGCGCCGTAGAGATCGCAGAATGTAGTGATGCCTCGATCATATCAGCCGTTACTGTCTGCTGCTGAGCATAGACCACCCTCATGAGGGGGGTTTTGCCAGTAGTTGCCACTTATTCCGGGCGGGTTTCAACCGCAGTTAGGCTTTGGTTATGTTTCAAAAGGAATGCTGTTGTCCATTCTTCGATTTAGTTCCCTTAGTTGCCTCTTACGACACCGACGGGAAAGAAAGCGGTGGCCCATTCTATGTCAGGACCACGAGGCGTATGTGTGTGTAATTTTGTCTATTTCCATAAAATGGTCAATTAATACTCGTAGCTCTATTCGTCATTCTCCTCTATCATCCCTCACTAGTACTTCCATTTTCATTCCTTTAAAAACATTTAATTGTTGCATTCGATTCATTCTAACTATACTGTAAGGGGTTTGTCGTGAAGATTAAGACTATCGTAATTAAATATCCCTAATTAGGTAAAATTGATCTACTAATGTCTAAGTGCTTTTTTTATAATTCTAAGACTCATGGAGCACTATCTCTTTGTTGCAGGTGGCGGTAGTCGCATCAATGGCCTGACACGATGTTCAGAACGGCGTCAGTCGAGGGCTCTGGGCCGAGGACGCCGCCCGCGTATGCGCCCCATCCCCCCTACGTCCCACCCCGCTTCTTCCCCCCACGGATACGTCCACCACCCCCTCAATACTGCTTCGATGCAGCACGCTTCGCGTGCGACGCTTCGAAGCCTAGATACTTGGATGTCGAGCGAGAGCGATTAGTGACGAGATGGCTGGCAGAAGCAAACGAGGCGTTAGTTAGGCGAGATAGGCCTCCCCGGTACAAGCCTCGGAGTAGCGAACGACGGCCAGATTTCATGCCAAGCGATCTCCAGCGACGGCCGAACGCACCAGAATGGGCCGACAATTTTCTTCTAGGGCGTCGGAACGGTTCCGTCGAGCCAGAAGATGATAGTGATGTGATGACATTAAAAGAGTTCGTGGACAAGTTTTCTTTACCTCGAGTAGTGAAATTCGAGGGGGAGGATAGGCCAGTGCTTCTGTACAGGGTGTTGGAAGCGCATAGGAGAGTAGAGGCAGTGCCGCTATCTGGGAAGAAGGGCAAGTTGGTTGGGAAGCCTCTGTATATACCGGATTCTTATGATGGTAAGTCTTTAAAATTTTTTGCATGCTTATTTAAGATTTGTCTATGACGCTATACTCAGTCTTGTGACAATCATGCATTATCATATGTTACTTGTTAAATGTTGTTTTTGTGGTCATTTTGAATGAGTGTCTCAATCAAGTTATGGTTTATTATTAAGCTCATATTATATATTTATTTTTACTATATTATCAATATTATAATTTCTAACTTTTGTACTATCTCTCAAGAGACTGGACGTTTGGCAGCTGTGTGAGGCAGCAATTGGCTGACCCATTTTTTGAGACGTTTTTGATACTTAACTCTCCATCTATCCATAGGTGTATATGATCTAAACCTCGTGTGTAATAAAATAATAAAATTTTATATTATTTATAAACATATAAATAAAATAGTTAAGTACTGTTATTTATATAGTTCGTTACAATGTTCAGATAACAATATTCCGAACCCTGCAGTGGATTAAAAAAAAAATGACGATTTAAAAGTGCTTGTAAACAAGTCTATTGGGTAAAGATGATTTGAATTCGATTTAATAGAATGAATAAAAATGTAAATAAACGTGTAATTGACCTGACCAAAAGACTGTTGACATCGAATAGTAGTACAAATAAAAAATCGATTAAATGACCGAATATTCCGATTTGTTACTAATTTTATTTGGAGTGTGTTTCTGTGATGACTTAATTAAAATTTGGTTACCTTTTTATAAATTTCTATTGAAACAAAATTAAAGTTTTTAATAGTCATTTTCCGGAAAATTACACTGCCGAGTATAATGCTATAAAGAGTTATTGTTCCAATTTAATAATTACTCAATTAAATATTCGTATTTGGAGCATTTAATCGATTAATATTATTATCAATAATCGTTACCGCAATTATTCTTATGAAGTAAGGTCAACTCGTTCTTATTTGATTAAAATTGTTTGTTGTTGTTATTGCTGATACTTGTAATTTGTTGTGTTGTAAAAAATATAACACTGATACTCGGAATTTTTTGTTACTATTATTTTACATTATAATTTAGGCAAAAAGTTTTAATTTTTTATTTATTTCTTATCTTAATAAGAACTATTAATCATGGGCCTCTACCATTTTTAACCGACTTTAAAAAAGAAGCAGGTTATATGTTCCATTATATTTTTTTTGAGAAGCTAAAGAATCAATCAACGATAACTAAATAAATAAATAAAAAGTGAAAATTATATTGTTTAACACTTTTTTAATTGTTTATTTATTACTTTTTATTAATATTATCATTATTTTCAAGGAGGGTTGACGTCAGGCAGTCGTCCGCTTATAGAACTTAAAGCCAAAACCCTGTATCATCATCATCATCATCATCATCACCATATCAGTCGAATAACCCTGGAATTTCTGAAGGAAAAATTCTATTACACATATTTAATTCGATAAGTTCTGCAGTAGATACGAGTAAATATTTTACTATTATTTAGATATACTACGTAGAAAACTTAGGAATATACAGTGCTGCCTTGTTTTGAACGAGATTTCCATTAGGGTACCGTATTTCATACATTACTCGGACGCGGTGCGTAATAGAGGTCGTGACCTTCGCCCTTCGCTACCGGTCAGCTGATGAGGGCCCGGCCAGTTAGCATGCGCTTAGATTAATTTAATAAGACTACATACTGAGTTCGTTTGAGTATGTTTGTTTGTGAAAGGTAACTTACTATCATGGTTGTGTGTCGAAACTCAATTGAAATTTATATTTAGAACATAACGGGTTTCTATTTAATTTGGGGATATCAATAAATTGTTCTTTTTTTTAATTTGAATTAAGTATGTATTGATATTACCAAAGAGGGTTGACGTCAGGCAGGCGGCCGGTCGTAAAACTAAAAGCCAAATTTTTTTGTAAGATGGATAAAAACATTACGCCGACCCCAAATAATAATTGGGATAAGGGTAGGAAGATGATGATGAATGTATTGATATTTGGTGAGATTTTTTTATACCACTGATGTGGCAAATACCACGTTATCCTAGCCTATGAACGCCTGCAACACCAAGGGTATATTTTTTTAATGGATGATAATGGAGTGGTAAAGGTTGCGTTAAAGGTGTACGCTGGCGGGGCACCAGTGAGGGATGATAGGTGAGAATAAAAAGGCAGGTCAGTTAGCCTATCGTGATGAATAGACTTGGAATTCAGCACGATGGTCTCCAGGGGGGACCACGGGCCTAATAGGGCATATTGCTAGCAATATGCTCTGTCAGGTCGACCTCCACGTGGTTTCCCCTGGAAACCATCGTGAACAATTCTTGTTGAATTCGTCACGATGGGCTAACTGACCTGCTTCATTCTCGCCTATCATCTTTCACTATTGCCCCGCCGGTTTTTACTGATAGCGCGGGTGGGGTTACCATTCCATTATCACCCACTAAAAAAAAACCATGCCTAGTATCCCATTAGGCGATGTATTATTTGGTGAGATTTTTCTATAGATATTTTTTGGTTTATATTAAAATTACTCACTGTCCCGGTTCTTTTCATTGACCGGGATAAAGCTTCAGCATCCTGGCGTCCAACTCATATAGTTAATGTATACCAAATTTCATAGTGACTGATTATGACTGATTAAGCTTTTAAAGCGCTATAAGGTAACAAACAAACATACTTACTATGTAAGAATCCCTATAATTATAGACTTCTTAACAATACGTATTATTTAATTATTGCTCATTTTTAACCGACGTCTTCAAAGAGAAAGACCGTCTCAATTTGGTTGTATTTTTTATGCTTGCCATCTCATTACCCCATCAGTTTATACATATAAACCGACTTAAAAAGTTCTTTTTCAAATCAGTTTTTAACTGACTGCTCTGTTTATGCTTTTATATAAATAGAGATTTTAATATACAGATTGGTCCTTTTAGAAATTTTATCAAAATCAGTAAAGTAGTTTAAGTTAGAAATCAAACTAACTGGTTTTGCTACTATTGAAGTCAGTTATTTTTTGTGAGACACAATCTTAAATTGTCACATAAATAATATTATGATAAATAATAATGTATTGGCCATTCCCGGTGTTCACTCCCCCTCTTTTATACCCCCTACAGTGATGTATCCAGTGCCATGTATGGTTGTACATGAAATTTATTATCTAAGTTGGGCCCGTTCGTCTTTAACCTCAAAGGGCAGTCAATGGCAGTAGCTTAATTGCTAGTGTACTATTCAACTGAATCTTGGTGTTAGGGTTGCCTACTTAATGTTTATAGATATAATTATTAATATATTGTTATCAGTCCCGATTGTGTTCGCGTAACCGTGATATTTTCACTGATCGGGATAAAAGGTAGGATGGAGGAAAACATAATTTTTTATCCATCCTATTTAGTATTTGTATATCAAATTTCATAGAGATTGATTAAGCCGTTAAAATATTAACAGGTAACAAATTTGCTTTCACATATATAATATTAATAAGAATTATATCGTCATAGTCGTAGAATACTGATGGATCTGACGAATATTACATGTATAGATCCGTCAGTATTCTACGACTATGATGATATAGAAAAACACTTGATCAGTTTCGCAGAGGGAAGGAATTATTACTAAATATGTCTAATGGTCCCAATACTACCTATATATATATATATATGGAAACCATCATGGTTAATTCTTAATGAATTCATCAAGATAGGCCAACTGATCTGGTTCCAACTTTACCACTCAGTTATTATCACTCACTAGTTGCCTGCCAGAGTATATCGATAGCCGCAAGCGGGGTTACTATACGATAATCATCTATTAAAAAAGAAAAAAAATTAAAACTTCCAATATCGATTGGAAGCATTTTTATGTTATATTAAAAATATCCGACCACTATTGAAACAAGGCCTTCATTTACGGAAATCAAAGGAACTCATCACGTTCCGAAGGTTACCAGTTAATAGTAGGTGACAGCCCTAACAAAGTGAGGCTTCCGTCCGCGTGGGAGACCCGGCCCATTACTGTTAGACCTTAAAAGGCTGTGTGCTCGAGGCTGCGGCCTTATTGCCAAATGTACAACTCAGATATTTGTAATCATCTGTCAGCCCTGTATCTTTGTTCTATCCCAGTTAGGTAAAGGATCATTAATAAGTACTGGAGGTTTTATGTCACTCGTCTAGGAAGGTAAAACTGTCTATAGATTGTCTATGACAACATGGCATGCCCCTCCAAAGTGCAAAGAATTAAAAATATGTAAGTTAATATGGCAGTCTATGGGGGAGGCTTACATACTCGTATGTCCAGCAGTGGAGGGATAATGGCTGAAATGATGATGATGGTGATAAAATATTTCTTACAAGGTTTCAACCAAGGAATATAATACTCCTCTAGTCGGGCAGCTACTAAAGATGTTCCTAGCAAACACAAATAAAGCACCACGTCTATTTATGGATAAAAAGACAATTAAATATTTCCCTATAGTCTTCTGTTTTCTCTCTCACTCGCTTTTTGATATTATGGATTTTTTTACTTTTTCAAATGATTTTTCAAATATTTTTTTTTCATACAAACATTGTACTGACAATTTTGAATATAACAAAAAAAGAATTAACCAAATAGATGCAGCTATAATGTACTGATGTTTATACCGTCATAGTCGTAGAATACTGACGGATCTGATAAATATTACATATATAGATCTATCAGTATTCTACGACTATGACGGTATATTCATTCGGTAATTCATCATCATCATCTCCCTATCCTTATCCCGATTATTATTTGGGGTCGGCGTAATATGTTTTTATTCATATTAAGCATTTGGCTTATAGTTTTACGACCGGCCGCCTGCCTGACGTCAACCCTCTCTCTATTCATTCGGCAATTGTTTTTATTTATATAGATTACTGTCGAATACACCACAATTTTTCTCAATCTGTTTTGGCACTTGTTTTAAATTTGTGTGTAGGTGTGAAACAACATGTCGCTCTTGTGAGTCAGCAACTTAAACTATTTGTTTTATGATTTATCATTATCTAT